GGGCAAGAGAGGGTGACTACGTTCCTACATGCAGTTGGATCATGGAGAACAGACGTAGCCACCCTCTAACAGGAAGTCAGATAACAGCAGAAAAAAAGGAATTTGGAGGCTGAGGGCAAAAGGAGGTACTTTTTTTGAGTTAAGAATAATTACTTATAGCAGGGCTTGCTTTGATTCTAGGAGCCAGCTAAAAAAGGAGCCTCTTGTTTTGTCACTGGAAGGGGTTTGTTTTCGGCGACAGAGATGGCCAACTGTTGATCTCTAAAGGGTGTGGTCTCAGATAAAATGCGACTGATTTAATGGGGGTGCTAATATGAAGGGACTCTAATCTAATGGGGTGGGGGGCGCTAATATAAATGGACTCTAATCTAATGGGGTCTCTAAGGGGGATGCTAATATAAATGGACTATGACCCAATAGGGAGGGGGTCTCTAAGGGGGGTGCTGATATAAAGTGACTCTGATATAATGGGAGGTCTCTAAGGGGGTGATGCTGATACAGGGGTCCTCTCATCACACAGTGCCCCCCCCCTTCTTATACATATCCTCTCACACAGCATGTCTTAGGTGCACTTTATTGTGTCTTATTAAATTAGGACTAGTGTCTATTCACACAGGGCTTACAGGGGACAGGCAGTTCACAGTCTCAGTGCAGTGATGCAGACTATTGGTGGGAGAAGACAAGGGTGATTCAGTTCACTGGTGTATATCAACATGCACAGCTGTTCCAGTGTACATTAACCAGTCGGAGCTAATGGGCTATGTTCACTAGGCAGCACTCCCCAACCTCCGACTCCTGGAAATGACAATTTAATCTGTGTCTCCCCTCATCTGTTTCTGTTGGTGGGGCCCCTGGGTTGTCTCCTCTCACCTGGGAGTAGAGTTTCGACAGCTCCTGGGTCCCACCACAGGCTGGTCACTTTCTGTCATCGGGCACAGCCAAGGCTCACCGTCGGCTCCTCTGTGAACCAACTTTACCATCTTCCCAGCCAGCCAATCACAGAAGAAGCCGTCCCCAGCTCACATCCTGATTGGGGGAAGGTCAAAAAAGGGCAAGAAGCTCTGGCCAATGAACAGGGGAGAAGCTGACAGGCTGCCCAATCATCGTTTCCCCATGAAAGGTCAACGGAGGAGAGAAGGTGAGGAGCTCAGTGGGTGGCTGCCGGAGGAGTCGCTCGTGCCTGGTGCTAGTGGCGGATAGGCTGGCGGGAGCTTGGGTGCTGGGACACAATTTCTGGTCACCACGGCGCCTGGGATTTGTCGAGCCCTGACTTATAGTTTACTTAGTTTAGAGTCACTTTATGTTCAATGCTGTGACCCAAAATTTAAAAACTCTGGTTAACATTGGATCCGACTTTGAAATTGTGTGACTTCACTTAAAGTCGTGCGATTTCAAAGTCAGATGGCAGTGGGACTTGATAGACATCTGTGCAACTTCAAATTGGCAAACGTAGTGCAGGAACTACCTTTTTCATTGCCAATCATTGCATGTGATTTGAACAGTCAAATTGCATGATAATTTGCATCAGTGTGAACCAGGGCTAAAGCTACTATATTTTAAACTTTGTCACATTCCTGTCTGAGTGTGGCAGCAAGTGTCACAGAAGTTTTTTAAAGGTTAGCTGAGCTTAAAAATGCGTCTAGACTACCTAATATGCATGGACACATAGGATAACATTAGCTGCTTTTACAGGCAAAGAGCTAAACTCCTTTAGGAGTAGCATTTTTTTTAAGTCAGTGTGTATGGAGCCTATACAGTTACATGCATAGTGAAAAGAGAGAGTATGAGATTTCTGTTTTTTTTTTTTTAAATCATACTTACCTAGGTGGATGCAGCATTGCTCTAATACTGCATCTGTCCCCCGCCGGTTCAAAGTGTGAAAACTCATTGATCACATGACTGCTGATTTCTCAAAGCCACTCTGAGTAGTAAGCAGTGATGGTCTGTCTGCTCTGTCTCCCCGCGGGATCTTTCCCCAGTCTGGAGCCCGCTGTCAGCTGAACACGGGTCACAGGAGAGCAGAATAAACTGCACTCCTGTGATCCACAGGAAAAGTACAGCCAAAGAGGTTTGGCTATGCTTCTTTTTAATCCTGTCCCTAGTGATGACTACACTCAGTCTGCTATCACTTACACTACTGTCCTACGAGCTGAAAACCATTTAACAGGGTGAGGCGAAGAGTGTAGTATCATCACACCATTCACTGTATATACTGTAATTCAGCCTAACAAAACTTTTATTTCAACTAACGTAAAGTTTTGCTCCAACGGGTTGCTTTGGGTATTCTATCCTCAGTTCACTTTGAAAGTTTTTTCAAAAAGCCAGTCTGCAATTCAGTCTTAGCTTAAAAAAAGTAAAATTATATGTGATGGTTTGTTTTGAAGTGACAACAAAATGCTAATTTACAATGCACTCTGGACATATTTCCAGTGGAAACCTTTTGTTGGGATCTAGAAGGTACATTAATGGAGATGTACTTTAATTGCTGATACTATGTTAAGTCCTATGTAAGGCAAAACAGACCAGGCCAGGTGAAAATAAAGAAAAAACAATGAATCTGTCTGAGAAATAAACTCCTATGAGATCATTTACTATCACAATCACTGTGGACTTCAAACAGCCAATTATGTACCCTGGAATATATAAAAGGGGACCTGATGTACATGAAACATACTGAACATACAAGAGGCTCATGCATTAAAACTTAAATAAGATTAATCTTGCTGGCAGAATTTTTCCAAAAGATCCAGTGTAAAAAATGCATATACTTGAGTTCATGTGTGTACAGTAATTAGAATCTTGAGCACCTGAATTAATTCTAGTGGCTATTATAATTATTTATTCTAGCTGCTAGAATAGATTTATGTGCACGTATGTACACACGTGTGTAGGCACATACGTACGTAAATTGCGCCAATATGCTCCTCCTGGAAATCGGGTTTTGAGTAGTCCCCTGAACACTGCTCTTGACCACAGACGTAAACTCTATGAAGTGCATGGACAAGGTTGATTTACTAAAATAGGCTGTTCACTTTGCAAGGAAATGTTCCCCGGAGCTTAGTAAATGAGTGAAGCTCTGTTGACGTCCATCATCCAACCATGTGCAAGCAAACATGCTATTTTGGAATTTTCCTTGAAAGCAATTGGATATCCTCTGAAACTTCACAGCATTCGCTCAGATGCAACAGCCTGGGTCCTGTGCCACCGTCTTCTTCTGTGATGTCATCCAGAACTTTGTTGCTGCTTTAGATACTCACCTGCCCAACAGATCCCTCTGGGATCTGCTGTTCAGATGCAACAGACTGGGTCCTGTGCCACCGCCTTCTTTAACGTCATCAGGAGCTTGGTTACCAAGTTCAAGTAGCCAGTCCCGATGTGTGACAGCTGTGTGTCCCTGCATCTTCAGTCTTCTGGGACATGTAATGTGGTTTCCCAGGAGGCTAATGGGACAGGGGTGCGTCATTCTCACCTAGGCGAAAATAGTGGCCAAAGTAAAAAAAAAATTAAAGAAAAAAGAAAACAAGATTTTTTTCCCCCCATTTTTGATTGTGCAGTACTGAGAGAGTACAGTTATGCCTGGTACATATATTGAACAAAGGTATTTTTTAAAACTAGAAACAAAGTTTTTCACTTGACATAAACCTTTTTTTTAAATTTTAGGAAATGTTTAAAGCTCTTTTATTTATTCTTGCTATTTGTGTATGAGAGTGAAATTTTCTCTCACTTCCAATTGCCATCCTTTTCCCATCAGTAGCACGAAAAGTGGAAAGACGGTTCCCAAATGGACACACAACAATAAAACAATAACAAAATAATAAATAAAGGAATAAAAATAATAAAACAATAGCATAAAAAGATTAAATAAAAAAACGGTTTGTCTACTTCATCCAAAAAAAAAGTTTTTTGCTGGAGTTCTCCACGGCATTGCACAGTAGGGAACCAGACCACAGCTCTCCTTTAATTCAGCTGCCGGGAATGGCTTTTCCATTAGCAGACGGCCAGGATTGACCAATATATACTATACATTAGCAGCAGCTGCTGAGATCCCTATGGGATTGTCCAATAATTGAACGCTAAGCCCTGCTGAATGCCATTTTTTTCCCAGATCCTGCAATACAAGATAGTTCTCGAAACAAAAGTAAACACGGCTTACAGGCTCCAGATCTCCGGCATAGCGGGTTCGATTTTTGTATACAGGCAAAAAAATAAATAAATGCCAAAGCTACATGTATCTGTTTCCTTCCCATATAAAAAAAAACAGGGCAGAAAAGAAACATTTGCAGAAGTACTTTCCTGGACAAGACAAGAATGTGGAATTAGCGATTCACGGCGGTGCTGAATGTAAATCTCTAGCTTGCATGACTTCTTGGCAAGTAGATTAACCAATATGAGGCAATCACAAGGGAGAGAGAGGAAGGGAGAGACGGAATGGAAAAGGCAAAGCGAGGAGGAATTGAACGCAACAGAATAAACGCAGGTAATTCATTAAAAATAACAATGGTTCTAATGAACTCCACGGCACATGAAGTGGAGACCTCGCTACTTTCATCCGAACAGCGAGCGCGCTAAACCAAACTGGCAGAACAATTTTCGGCTAATAAAAACCACAAGAGTCCATTTGACAGAGCTCATGTCCTTACCGGTTTCATTTATTTGTAACTTCTCCCACATGGCAGAAATATAATGGCTTTTTTTTTTCCTGGTGCACGCGGCGCCTTCCGAAATTCAGTGAGGCATCAAGCAGAGAGATGCAAGGTGGTTCCTGTGGCCGTTATATTGAAAGGATGAATTTTATTATTTTTAGTTTAAGAAGATGGGTTTGAAAGCTGGACCACCCAAAATTCAGCATAGAGCAAACCTAATCCCTACCTAAAGCTGTTTTTTTTTTGTTTTTTTCACATTCCACCCCCTATTCTAACTTCTTACCTGTGAGTAGCTCCAGGCTCCCTCTAACTGACACTATATATGCATTATGTCACACAGACAAGTTGAAGCAGTGACGGTGTAAGGGATTTCCGGCAAAAAGAACCGCGATCGGAAATGCGCATAGGAATTCCCACAGAAGAATTTCCGGCGATCGCGCACACGCACGGCGAAGATTGGCGCAAGACGGCCTATTTAAGGATTGCCTCTGCTTATGTTCAGTGCTGACTGGTCTTCAACTTCCCGTGTCCTGCTTGTTCCTGTGTGATTCCTTTGTTGCTGACCCGGCTTGTTCCTCACCTGACTCTGATTGCTCTCCTGATTGATACTGGTTCCTGACTTTGGCTCTGCTCCTGACCTTGGCTTTTCCTTCTGATTCTGTACCGTGCTGCCCGACTGTTGATGACCCTGGCTATTCCATGACATTGCTCCTGTCTCTTGTCCTCACTACCTGCCTTGCTCTGGTGAACGCCGGGCAATCTACAAAACCTGCTCTGCCTACTACTACTGTGCCAAAATCAGAGGATCATCAGCCTTCCAAGGTCATCATCTGCAAGAGCTGCAAACAACAACTACTGGCACTCTTATTCCCCTGGGTCCTAGACTCCCTCTGTTCCAACTCCAGCGGGGTCAGGGCTAGTGACACAAGTGAGGCCGACCTCGTCATTTCAGTCTCCCATCAGGTACGTGACAGACGGCCAATCACTGTGTCTGCCTGATGAAAAATCCTTGCTTTTTAGGTATAAAGTTGGCAGCATCTGGTATAATTCACCAATTAAACCTAAGGTAATATAAGATTACTGACTACAATAACATATAGCCAACACGTTTCAGGGGAAGATTCTCCCCTTTCTCAAGGCTTATAATATGGTTTACATTTAATTCATTTTTATTTATTACAGGTACTTATATAGCACCGTCAATTTTTTGCAGCGCTTTACATATATATTTGTACATTCACATCAGTCCCTAACTCTCAATGAGTGTACAAACTCACATTGATACATACACATACTAGGGAAAATTTTAGACAGGAGCCAGTTAACCTACCAGCATGTCTTTGGAGTGTGGGAGGAAACCAGAGTACCCAGAGGAAACCCACGCAGGCAAAGGGAGAACATGCAAACTCCAGGCAGGTGGTGCTGTGGTTGGGATTCAAACCAATAACCCTAGTACTGCCAGGTGGAAGTGCTAACCATTTAGCCACTGTGCTGCCCACAGACTTACACTTAATGCCAGAAGAAATTTGTTAAAATGCCTGCTTTGAGTCGGCAAACTGATTGATCAGCAGATGAATGTAGGGATAAAAGTGGCCCGCTGATCAGCAATCCTTAGACTTAGAACTTATGATACAACATGGCAGCTGTGATTGGCTGCCAGCAGCAGGAAAGAGCTTGGCAGCTACAGGTATAGACACCCATTTAATCCTCTTCCCAAGACGGAATGTTTTTTTTTTACGCACACAGCTACACAGAGAACTTCCCCTTCAAAGTGCATAAAGGAAACATGTTAAATCGAAGAAAAATACAGCAATACGAGAGTAGAAAATCATATGAAAATTGCATGTATTTTAATGTGTAGATGTCTAAACGGTGTAGGAATATGGATTTAGAGGAAGTTATTTAGATCTGCTTTAATACTTACTGAACTCTCTAAGAACAGTATGTTAGTGGTCCTACTTGTCATTTCCAGGAATACAGCCTGTCCCTAGCCAGTAACCTGCAGCTGTTCTTTCTTTAAGAAAGCACATATCGAAGAAAAATATATTTGAAATATATTTTAAAAATATTCTTCCCAAATGTATTGCCATATGTTTGAAATGCTACAATTTTGGCCATATTCAATATATTTAAAAATATACAGTCATGGCCGAAATTGTTGGCACCCTTGATATTTCTCCAGGAAATCATGTATTTCTCACGAAACGTATTGCATTAACACATGTTTTGCTATACACATGTTTATTCCCTTTGTGTGTATTGGGACAAAACAAAAAAAAGGGAGGAAAGAAAGCAAATTCGACATAATGTCACACAAACCTCCAAAAATGGGCTGGACAAAAGTATTGGCACCCTTTCACAAACTGCGGATAAATAAGAATGTTACAAGCATGTGATGCTCCTGTAAACTCACCTGGGGCAAGTAACAGGTGTGGGCAATATAGAAATCACACCTGAAAGCAGATAAAAAGGAGAGACGTTCACTTAACCTTTGCATTGTGTGTCTGTCTGTGCCACACTAAGCATGGACAACAGAAAGAGGAGACGAGAACTGTCTGAGGACCTGAGAACCAAAATTGTGGCAAAATATCAACAATCTCAAGGTTACAAGTCCATCTCCAGAGAACTAGATTTGCCTTTGTCCACAGTGCGCAACATTATCAAGAAGTTTGCAACCCATGGCACTGTAGCTAATCTCCCTGGTCGTGGACGGATGAGGAGGAAAATTGATGAAAGATTGCAACGCAGAATAGTCCGGATGGTGGATAAGCAGCCCCAAACATGTTCCAAAGACATTCAAGCTGTCCTGCAGGCTCAGGGAGCATCAGTGTCAGCGCGAACTATCCGTCGACATTTAAATGAAATGAAACGCTATGGCAGGAGACCCAGGAGGACCCCACTGCTGACACAGAGACATAAAAAAGCAAGACTACAGTTTGCCAAAATGTACTTGAGTAAGCCAAAAGCCTTCTGGGAAAACGTCTTGTGGACAGATGAGACCAAGATAGAGCTTTTCGGTAAAGCACATCATTCTACTGTTTACCGAAAACGGAATGAGGCCTACAAAGAAAAAAACACAGTACCTACGGTAAAATATGGTGGAGGTTCAATGATGTTTTGGGGTTGTTTTGCTGCCTCTGGCACTGGGTGCCTTGACTGTGTGCAAGGCATCATGAAATCTGAGGATTACCAAAGGATTTTGGGTCGCACTGTAGGGCCCAGTGTCAGAAAGCTGGGTTTGCGTCCAAGATCCTGGGTCTTCCAGCAGGACAATGACCCCAAACATACGTCAAAAAGCACTCAGAAATGGATGGCAAAGAAGCGCTGGAGAGTTCTGAAGTGGCCAGCAATGAGCCCAGATCTAAATCCCATTGAACACCTGTGGAGAGATCTTAAAATTGCTGTTGGGAAAAGGTGTCCTTCCAATAAGAGAGACCTGGAGCTGTTTGCAAAGGAAGAGTGGTCCAAAATTCCGGGTGAGAGGTGTCAGAAGCTTATTGATGGTTATAGGAAGCGACTGATTTCAGTTATGTTTTCCAAAGGGTGTGCAACCAAATATTAAGTTAAGGGTGCCAATACTTTTGTCCAGCCCATTTTTGGGGTTTTGTGTGACATTATGTCATATTTGCTTTTCTGCCTCTGTTTTATTTTTGTTCCAATACATACAAAGGGAATAAACATGTGTATAGCAAAACATGTGTTAATGCAATACCTTTTTTGTGTGAAATACTTGATTTTCAGGAAAAATATATCAAGGGTGCCAACAATTTCGGCCATGACTGTATTTCAACATATATATATATATATATATATATATGCACATACTGCATGTTGAAATGTGTTTTTATTACAAAATATATGAAAAATATTTTTAAATATACATTTCAAATATACTGTATGTCTTTAAAAATTACAAATCTACATTTTTGGAATGCACTTACAAATATATATAAAAAAAATATAAGTTAAAATTACTTTTTTTATACGTTAAACAAATCTGAAGAATATATTCATAAAATATATATATTTTTTAAAATATATTCTTCTGATTTTTTTTAACATATAAAAAAAAGTCATTTTAACATATATTTTTACATATATTTGTAAATGCATTCCAAAAATGTAGATTTGTATTTTTAAAGACATACAGTATATTTGAAATGTATTTTTAAAAATATTTTTAATATATTTTGTAATAAAAACGCATTTCAACATGCAGTATATATATATATATATATAGTCATATATATATATATATATATATATATATATATTCAAATATATTTTGAAGTATATTGAATATGGCCAAAATTGTAGCATTTCAAATATGTGGTAACATATTTGGGAAGAATATTTTTTAAATATATTTCAAATATATTTTTCTTCCATGTGGGAGAGAGGTCCAACATGTCCCCTCCCCACACCCACTAAGCCTTACCAACAGTGCTGCAATCAGTGGTGATGTCCTATAATCTACATATGACATCACTTAAAGTATATTTCCATTTTTGCAGTCAAATTTGTGAAACAGCCACCATGTTTGTTATGTGTTCCCAGTCACATAGCATCCATAACAATAAAAAAGGATCAGGATTATACATAGGACTCTATTGCCAGCTTCTATTGTTAAGAATAACTTGCAATGTGCAATTAAGAGACAGATTAAAGCTGGCCATGGATGGATCGAATCTTGGCTGGTTCAGTAGGGACCGGCCAAGATTCAATCCATTTTTTGGCAGGCTGGTTGTACTGAAGTCGATCCATCAATTGACTTCAGTACGACAAGTCTATTGGATCACTGTCAGCAGTGATCATTGTATTCTGCTGGTGGGGAAGGCTCCTGCAGTCTCCACCGCTAGAACACAATAGAACTGCAGGAGGGATTCCCCCATTAACACTGACTGTGCTGATGGGGGAATGAAAATTGCATAATCTATGGGCTGGCCAAAGAACAGTTTTTTTGTGTGTTTTATGCATAAATGTACTACCCACGCCTGGAGATCTTTAAAAGCTGTACTCCACGTACAAACATACATTTACAGTGGTGTCCCTCCTCTACAAGGGTTAAATAATTGCTTTTTTTCTAGGAGGTAGAGGGACAGGCACTAGTACTTGCCCTATTCCCAAATAATGTGTAGGGTAAGTATTCCCCAATACAATGCAGAACTGTTAACCCTATATCGTACATGGAGGGGCAAGCATACAACTCTGGCATGAGCGGCAACAGCGCTAGACTGGTTGCAAAGATCTTAGATTGTAAGCTCCAAGGAGCAGGGCCCTCCTAACCCTCTTGTATTGAACTGTATTGTTGCTGTATTGTCTCCTGTTATATTGTAAAGCGCTGAGCAAACTGTTGGTGCTATAGAAATCCTGTATAATAGTAATATATAAATCCTGTATAATAATAATAATAAAAGATAGAGGGAGCCTGCTGGGGACGGGTATAAATGAATGCATTCTCCCTATTCTGGGACCCCTAGATATAATGAGAATTAAGTCTTTACAGTGCATTGGAAAAGAAGGTGGGGGCACTGTAAGGGTATTTTTTTGTTCCACCCTGAATTTCAGCTTTAATGCTTTGTTAGGACAGATGGCATGCGCATGTAGTTTACAACTGATAATGAGAATGGCCAGTACAGTACAGACAGGGTTAATTATGGTGAGCATAACTTCCCATCCTCCTCCTTAACATTTCATAGAAAAGGAAAATTTTAGGCAAGTAAAGCTGTCATATTTTTTTAAATCATGCTATGTGAATGGGAAAATACCATCTATCTATCTATCTATCTATCTATCTATCTCTCCATTATCTATCTATCTCTATCTATCTATCTATCTATCTATCTATCTATCTATCCATTATCTATCTATCTATCTATCTATCTATCTATCTATCTATCTATCTATCTATTTTATAATATAAAGTAGAGGATTTCTTGATTTGGCTGAAAAAGTGGAAATACGCTTTAAGGCTCCATGCACACTAGCGGGTTTTTTTTTTTTTTTTAAAGCTCAAAAAATGCTGAGGAAAAACATTGGATAAAAAACGTTGGTAATAGCATTTTTTAGTAGCATTTTAGTAGCGTTCAGAAGCGTTTAGGAGCATTAGCTTTTTATTATCATTTTTACAGTACATGTAGAAAAAGCTAGAAAAAAGCTGTTAGCAGCGTTTAGCGGTTTTGTCTGCTGGGAAAACACTCCAAAAAACTCTACAAAAACAATTTTTTTTCTGCTCCTAGAAGCTGAAGCTCAAAAAATGCTAATAGCCTAACATAGTGTGCATGAACACATAGGGTAACACTATTTAGCTTCTAGGAGCAAAATAAAATTTTATTATTATTATACAGTATTTATAAAGCGCCGATAGTTCGCTCAGCGCTGTACATTACAAAGGGGGACAGAACATGTGACAGAACAATAACAATACAATGCAAAACATGAGGGGATCGAGGGCCCTGCTCTTTGGAGCTTACAATCTAGGAGGGAGGGGATGGTGGCACAGGAGGAGATAGCTGTGGGGCATGGAGTGGTAGGAAGAGTGGAGGAGGTCGGCAAGTTAGCAGGGGGTGGGGTAGGCTTCCCTGAAGAGGTGGGTTTTCAGGGTGCGCCTAAAGGAGAGGAGAGTAGGTGATAATCTGATGGGTTGGGGCAGGGAGTTCCAGAGGATGGGTGACACCCTGGAGAAGTCCTGGAGGTGGGCATGGGAGGAGGAGACCAGGGAACTAGAGAGAAGGAGGTCTTGTGAGGAGCGGAGTGTGCGTGCTGGGTGGTACTTGGATATTAGGTCAGTGATGTAGTTCGGGGCAGTGTGGTGGACGGCTTTGTACGTCAGTGTTAGGATTTTGAATTTGATCCGCTGCGCAATCGGAAGCCAGTGGAGGGATTGGCAGAGGGGGGTGGCGGAGACGGAGCGGTTGGAAAGGTGAATGAGTCTGGCAGCCGTATTCAGGATCGACTGAAGCGGGGATAGCTAGCGGCGAGGCAGGCCAGTGAGGAGGGAGTTGCAGTAGTCGAGTTGTGATATGATGAGGGAGTGGATGAGCTATTTAGTGGTTTCTGGAAATAGGAACGTGTGGATTTTGGCGATGTTGCAGAGGTGGAGTCTGCATGAGCTTGTTAAAGATTGGATTTGGGGCTGGAAGGATAGGTTGGAGTCCAGAATGACAGCAAGTACTCTGGCCTGCGGGGCGGGTTTGATGGTGGCGTTGTTGGACATGATGGAGAAATCAATGGGGGGTGGTGTCCGGGCTGGGGGGAAGACAAGAAACTTGGTCTTGGAGAGGTTCAGTTTAAGGAAGTGGAGCGACATCCAGTCAGATATGTCGCTCAGTAGGTGTGTGATTCGGGCAGAGACTGAGGGGGTGAGGTGGGGGATTATATACTGATAATAGCTTCTAGGAGCTTAAACAAAATGCTAGTGTGCATGGAGCCTAAAAGCTCATGGATCTTTAGAAGACGCTGATGATAGGAACTGCGGGATTAGTCATCAGGGCAGCTAGGTGCTAAAAGCGAATGTCAGAGTGGAATCAAGGAGCATTCAGCTGGTAGACTGTGTCCTTTGAATGAGTTTCAATGCAGATTTTTCTTTATTTTGACATCATGTACATAAGTGATACACACAGGAGAAGCCATGACATTGGCAGGACAGGGATATCCGAAAACACAAGTGATGAGTTTGTCTCACGTAGATACAACTCATTAACTAGTAGATGCATTGTGTTTTTTCCCGAAAACATGCTCTATTTGCTCTTTATTTGTCTTGTGTTTGGCATTTTCATTACTCGCGCATACTTATGTCATATTTAACTCTTGCAGCTTTCTGCTTAATTGCTGTCAAGCATCATGTCACTGCAACGCATGAATAAAATGGAATCAATTAAAAAATAATTCTGAAGCATTATGTAATCCATAATTAGTCACAATCTGACATTAGCTCTTCTCCATAATTAAAACGCAAAAAAGCATATTAGCATACACAACGTGATAATTAAAACGCTTTACAAGCCAATGGGGCGGGATATAAAACTGTACAGAAAACACAAAGAACAGACAAACAACACAATCTTAACAAATAAGTCACTAACTTTTCTTCAACTCTTCAACTCAAGACCAGTAGTGTCGGACTAAAGCAAGCCATACATAATTCAATTTTCTTTTCTGCAACCACAGAATCACTTGATTCCCCCATCAACAGAGTCAGTGTTGATGGGGGAATCCCTCCCACAGTGATACTGTGCTCTGCCTTCCCGGCTGGCAGAACACAATGATTACTACTAGTGGCTATGGCCACCAGCAGTGATTACATGCCAGAAATCTGACAGACTAGTTGATTGATGGATCAACGTCAATGCAACCAGCCTGCCTATACATAGATGGATGAAATGTTGGCTGGTCCCTGCTGAACTGGCCATGTTTTGATCCATCTATGGCCGGCTTTGCAGTTTATGTTCAGCTTTCATTCTTCTATTCCAGGCATTCCTCTATTGTAGCGGTCACTGAATGGCGGACCACGGTACGCGAACAGCCCCATCAGCACTGCTGCCTGGACCGCCAGCCCGTAATGACAGATCCGCCGCTGAGCAGGGTGGTCATCACGGCAACATGACATCATGTGTGCGCCCCTTTCAGCCCACTGACTCTCCGGCTCCCACTCCCTGTCTGTACACAAGCATCCAGCAAGGATCCCGGCACAGCTCCTGTCTATCCTCAAGGTAGGGTGTAGTCTTACAGGGGCACGCTGATGGGCACATTGAAGGTTAAGGGGCACTCTGATGGACACAACATAGAATGTGCCCATCAGAGTACCCGTTAACATACAATGTATCCATCAGAGTGCCCCTTAATATAAATGTGCCCAACAGAGTGCCCCTTATTTTATGTTAAGGGGCACTCTTTCGGACCCATTTTATTTAAGGGGCACTCTGGTGGGCACATTGTATGTTAAGGGGCACTCTGATGGGCACATTGTATGTTAAGGGACACTCTGATGGGCACATTTTATGCTAAGGGGGCACAAATGGGCACATACTGTAGAAAGGGGCACTCTGATGGGCACATGTGATGGAAAGGGGCACTCTGATGGGAAATGTGATGTAAAGGGGCACTCTGATGGGAAAATATAATAGAAAGGGGTACTTTGAGTGTAAGGGGGTACTCTGACGGGAATACCTGATGTAAGGTGGCAATGTGATGGGGATACCTGATGTAAAGGGGCACTCTGATGGGGACAAATGATGTACAGGAGAACTCTGATGGGCACACCTGATGTGATGGGAATAAATGATGTAAAGTTGCACTCTGATGGTGACACTTAATGTAAGGGTGCCCACTGATGGGCACACCCTATTCGAACCTCAGCCAGAAGAAAATTTTAGTGACCGGACCTCTTTGAACTTTAATTAAATACCCCTGCTCTATTGTATCAGAATACCGCAATCTCTTATATGGGTACTATGGTAATCTAGGATCCCTTGCTAGAGAGGCAATAGAGTGATTCCCAAACACACTTCAGAGAGCTCCTAACATCTCTCCTACGAAAAACTTTCTGAAAAAAAAAAAAAAACGTTTCTCAAACTTGAATCAGCTTTAAAGTATAACTAAAGACAAAACTTTTTTTTTAGTTTTGGTGAGCTTGGAGATTGATTAGAACACTTATTGGATCTTTATTGCTCTTTGTGCCCTGTTAGGGAGATTCCCCTTCTCTATTTGTCCTGTTTACCGTTATCATTGAAAGTGAAAGTAAAAGAAACCCCAAAATTTGGGTTTTCTCCAGAAAGTTTCCAATGGGGATACTATCTCTGGTGACCCGGAGGTCCTCAAGGAATTCCCTTAGTTTGCAGGATTTTCTTTCACATCCTGTTTTGGCTATGGGATCAGAAGTGAAGGGAAATCTCCCCAATGGGATGCAGATGGCAAAATGGTTATAACCTTCCTTTACTCTATCCAAAATGAAAAAAAAAATTGCCTATGGCTCTACTTTAAACCTTCTTTGGAAATGTGAATGCAATGTGCGCTAGCAAGGTAGCACAGTGGGCTCAGTGGTACAGTAAGTACTTCTGCCTTGTAGCACTAGGGTAAGTGGTTCAAATCCCAACCATGGCAGTACCTGCATGGCATGTGTTCCCTGTGCTTGTGTGGGTTTACTCCCATACTCAGAGACTACTGGGCTCCTGTCTAAGTTGTTTCTATATGCCTGTGAGATAGGGTCCTCAGACTGTAAGCTTTTTAAGGACAGGGACTGATCTGAATGTACAAAGTGTAAATTGTTGCTGCTACATAAATACCTAAGATAAAATACATAACAGAAATGGCAAGGAAGTTACACAGCACTGACCTTAACAAATACACTAACTTTAAAGCAGTATTAAACCCAAAAGCAATTATTTATTATATTGCAGCTTACCCATTCTTAGATGAGATGGCTGCATTCATTTTCTTATTTAGGCTCCTTTCACTCGTGCGTTCCGTATGTCCATATTTCAGCTGTCCGTTTATGGATGAAAAACGGACACCCATGTATTTCTATGGACTAGCGGATGCAAACGGATGCATTAACATCTGTTTTTTTTGAAAAGAAGAAAACGCTAATTTTCTTCCGTAAAAAAAATGGAACAATCGAAAAACAGATGTAAACTGACATACGGTCTGTTTTTGCATCTGTTTTTGTATTGGTAAAAGATGTAAAAAACTGAAGTAACAACTGACAAGAAACGATGATAACCTGCTGAGAAAATGATCAAAAATTGATGGGAAACTGATGTAAACTGATGAAAAACTGATCCATTTTTTCTTTGAAAAAAACGTGACTGAACTGATGAAAAAAACAAAATGCCTGTGTTAAAGGACTCTTAGGGCTCTTTCACATGGACGTTCCAATCGGGTCCGCCTGCCCGTTTTTCAGAACCTCCATTCTCCTCTATGGAATGGCGGATATAAAAGGACATGTGTACGTTTACACCCACCGACATCCGATCCAATCCGCCAAAGAGGGATGGATCCAATTCCAAAACAACAGGCGATCCCTTTTCATCCGACTGTCCATTGAGGAGAGCGAGATCCCCCACTGAGCAAGTGGATCCGTTAAACAGGTCCACCCCGTGTGAAAGAACCCTTAGTCTTCCTTTCCTTTATTTTCACCTGCTAATCCGGAAAGTAAGTGTGTTCTTCTTCAACAGAACATGTTGTTCTGCAGATGTAGCAATTAGAGGGTTGAGACAAACCATTTACCACTGACAGGGGAGCATACATTGATCAGCTATTAAATCCAAAACTGGTTTAGAGACACTCACGGCTCTTTTAGGAGGAGGAAGACCAAAAAACAGCAGTGTTTTTATTGTCGTTTCAATGAAACTCAGTCCATCTTTCTCAAGACTTCTCATGACCAGCTTTTGTTTATATATGTAAAACCTATCCCAAAAGGAAAAAAACTGTTTGCTGTAACTGGCTATAAAATGTGAGCTGGAGTTCAGCTTCAATGTGTTTAGTGTATCTAAATCTGCTAGTACAGTCCATCTAACACTGCCCTCCTCCCTGCTGCTGCCCAAAGATTCCCCTGTGCTCCTTCATCCAGAGTAGAGGCACTCTAATACAGGAGGTGTGTTATTGGCCAGTTCGTCAGGCAAAAACACAGGGAGAAAAGTCTAAAAGATTAAAGGTTTTAAATAAATGAAAGCTGACCATTGTAAGCACCCGTCAGTGCTAAACGGTTTGTCCGAAACCTGTAACTGTTACATCTGCAGGACAGCTTGTTTTGTTGAAAAACAGACTTACTGACTAGATCTCACTAGCTGAGAAGGAAAGGAAACCTAAAAAAAGTAAACGAATGCAGCTATCACATATTAGAACAGGCAAGCTTCAATATGATAAATGTCTGCTTAAAATGTATTTTCTCTGAGCATTTAGCCGTTTGGAGTTCAGCCTCCAGCTATGTCTTGGCAAAATGGAAAAATCATGAATAAACGAGGGGCTAAAATAAAACCTTTCCTGGAGAAAATGCTGCTCCCGGTTAGCTCTTGTGCTGGCTATCATCAGAGCTTAAATCAACAAAGATCATGTGACCAGCTACCAGGGTCATCCTACATCTGCCCGTGTTTAGGCAACATTTTCTCCCGGAAAGATCCGAATGTTAGCCCTTCTATTACTCTTCATTTATTCACATCAGCAAGACTGTCAGCATAGCTTTGTGCTAACATTTGGCTACATATCCACTTCAAAAATTGTTTTAAGGATAAGAATGTTTTCCCATACTAAAATCCTGGATATATGTAGATGCTGAGGCACGGTTCTACCATCACACACGACATTTATTTACACATGAGATTTTCATCAGCTGGGAAATAGCTGTTTAATTTCGATTTTTTTTTCCTTTTTACTGCAAGCAAGCCTACTCTACATATTGCTAAACAACCCAAGCATCTGTTCATTGATTTTGATGGATGGTCTCGTTAGCATCAGATACTTTTTCATATTTCAAGGCAAATGCATAAGTGGGAAAAAAACGCCGCCATTTATCTTAATACCCAGTCTTGTATTATCACAATGTGAAAAAAATAAAAGAGACCCAGGAAGCCACAATGAAAACGTATGCATTTATACGCGGACAGATGTAGCCCGAATTACCGGAACAAACGGCAGGCGCCGTCAGCACTTATGTGTCGGCAATTTGGTAAATAAGCCAGCTACCATATTGTAATAAATGGAAACCGAGCATTAGGCTGGATCAATTACTAAAGATTAAATTAAAATCATTTAGAGACGCTGTCAAAAAGCAAACGGTGGCCAAACGTGAAAAATTGTCACGCGTATTTATTAAGTCGGTGCAGGGGAGATTTAGTAGGTCAATTGTTTTATAACATTCACCGGGGATAAATCGATAGGACAGTTATTGATTGCTACATGGCTGGGGCAAACAACTCCTTATGGTGGAGCTACTCAAAAACTCAAGTTTTATTATCACTAATTCTACCTTCTGTTGTTTCTTGAATGTTTTGGGGAGGTGCTTTCTAAAATGTTTTTTCTGTGTACTGTAACGTTCACTTAAAATGGAACTAAACCCTCCTATTCTTTACAGCCAAGGAAGCTGTCATCTTAGCCTCTGTTTGATCTTCAACTGCCATGGTGCTGCATGTGCAATCAGTTATGACACACCAGTCATTTCATGGCTTCATAATTTGATTGGGAGCACAAGCAACTGTGACGGTTATAATTCACGGCATGCCTTGAATGTTACCGTTTTTGGAAAAAGTTAAAGCTGAATTCCAGGAGTTCAGCTACTTTGTAAAAACTGCGGGAATACCATGACTTAAGCCCTACACAGTGCCTGCCACCTTCTAGGTTTACCACTATTATTCATATCTGACAAGTTTATTGTGCTCCAGGAAGATAATCTCCGAGCTCCCATGCTGCTCACTGTGGTCTCAGTTCCTTCAACTGGAACTGCTTTGCCTACCTCTCCCCTTCTTTTGCCCATTTGCTGAAGCCTTTGCATTTTGTGAACTCATTCACAAAATACAAAGGCTTCTGTAAATGGGCAGAAGGAGGAGCGGCCATAGCTGCTCTATGTGCTTCTCTCCTCTCACAGCCAATAAACCTGTGAAATATAAGTAATAGAAATAAGTCCCGGACTTGACATGTACCTAATTGGACGTAACTCATAGTGTGCCTTGGCATTTTGCAACGTTGCAACGTTCAGCTTCAAATCAATGGGTTTAGTTCCTCTTTAAGCATGGGCACAGCTGGCAGTTACTGAAAGAATGCTTTATGGAACAAAGTGCCGAATGCTGAAATTTATAGAAAGGTATAGACAAAAGGGGGCTTAGCAAACCATATCCCAAGGTTCTCTGCTGCAGTGGTTAATCCTCCATACATAGGTGTTACACAACTGTGCCAAAGTCCTTAATGTGGATCTGAACTGCAGACGTTGTGCCAAAGAAAGACAATCAGAGGGTGAAGGTCTAGAATTGCCTTTTTCAACTTTTCTGCCCCAGAGGAGCTGTTAAAATGATTTTCAGGTCAAAGGCATGCATCCCATTTTACTGGAAACAAACCACACTACCCTCCATCAAGACTTGGTTTACTAATGTCAATGAAGTACAACTGATGGAACAGCTTATGGCTGCAGTACACCATAGGGAGGAACGGGTACATAAGATGTGATTTTACTGGATGGAATTTACCTTCATGGCTGAATACCGAGATATCCTGGGCTCCCAAGTGCCGTTCCCATAAGTCTCTTATGACTTTATTAGGCCAGTCACCTTCGAGCAGCGCACTCATCATCTTTCCCCTTTCCATTTTTCCTTTCCCCTTGTTCTTCTTTACTCTTCCTGCCCCCCCCCCCCCCTTTTT